AAGTTCTGAAACCATATCCTATTATCCAAAATGGAGAATGTAAACACATGATCCACAAATGGTTGGCTTTTGGGATGATACTGTGGTGTACTGATTTAAGAGTTTTTTTAATGAAGCATAATGTGGCAATTCATCAAAAGCCATTTTGAACAAGGAATTTAGCAGATGGCCCATGAGGTGAATTGAAAGCCACATATAGAGATCCTGTTTTTTCTTATCTTCAAAATAGATGCATTTAGTGCAGTTTTTCATTTCACAAACCTCATTAATCACAAATAATTTATCTTTATGGTCCATCTTAGTATCTGTTTTAGAATGAGGCATCAGCATCCCCAAGCCTTGCATTAAATGTCTTGTCTTGAAACTTACTCCTCTGCAAGAAGAGATAAGAATCCTTTCCTTGTTTTTCCACTTGCCCTTCCAAACAGGACCTGGGATACGGTCTCTCTTTTCTTCCTCTACCTCCTCTGTTGTGACACTCTGCTTTGCCTGAAGCATCTTCTTTTTTTTTTTCTTTTTGGCATCTTTGCCTGAACCCACAACCCCCCATGCCACTTCCTCTTGGTGGCTGCCATCTTGCCTCGCCCTGCCCATTTCTTAACTGAGTTGTTTGTTTTGTTGTTGTTGAGTTTCTTGATCTCTTTATATATTCTGGTTATTAATCCTTTATCAGTTGAATAGTTTGCAAATAATTTCTCCTACTCTATCGATTGCCTCTTCACTTTGCTGAGTGTTTCTTTTTGAATGCAGAAGCTTCTCAGGTTGATGTAATCCCATTTGTAAATTTTGGTTTTGATTACCTGTGCCTCCAGAGTCTTTTCCAAGAACTCTTTGCCTATGCCAATGTCTTGCAGGGTTTCCTCAATGTTCTCTAATAATTTGATGGTGTCGGGTCATAGATTTAGGTTTTTAATCCATTTTGAGTGTTTTTTTTTTTTTTTTAAGGTGTAGGTAGGGGTCTTGTTTCAATACTACTTCATGTGGAGATCCAGTTTGCCCGGCACCATTTGTTGAAGAGACTGTCCTTGTTCCAGGCATTGATTTTAGCTTCTTTGAAAAAAAAATAAGCTGGTTATAGATGTGTGGGTTGATTTCTGGCATTTCTATTCTGTTCCATTGGTCTATCCATCTCTTTTGATGCCAGTACCAGGCTGTTTTGATTATAACTGACTTATAGTATGTCTTGAAATCTGGTATTGTTATGCTTCCAGCTTTGTATTTTATGTAAGATTGCTTTAGCTATTGGGTCTTCTGTGATTCCATGTGAATTTCAGCATCATTTTTTATATTTGAGAAGAATGTCCTTTCTATTTTGATTGGTATTGCATTGAATCTATAAATTGCTTTGGGTAGTGTGAACATTTTGATGATACCGATTTTCCTATTCATAAACATAGAAGATTTTTACATTTTTTGTATCTTCTTCTATTTCTTACTTTAATGTTTGTAATTGATATCCTTGTTAAATCTATTCTAAGGTATTCGATTTTTTGGTAGCTATTGTGAATGGGATTAATCTTAGAAGTTCTTTCACGGCCATGGCATTGTCTGTGTATACAAAGGCTATTGATTTTTTGTGTTGATTTTATATCCTGCCACTTTATCAAACACTTCTGTGGGTTTCAATAGTCTCTTAGTGGAGTCTTTCAGATCCCCTATATGTAGAATTGTGTAATCTGCAAATAGGAATAGTTTGACTCCTCCTTCCAAATTTGTATCCCTTTGATTTATTTTTCTTGCTTAATGTGTTTTTTTTTTGTTCTAGTACCATTGGTTGAACTCTGTAATTAACACACAATTATTCTTAGGTGTTTAAATTTTAACTGAAAAGTGATCCCTGTTAGGAATTTGGAAAACATTATGCTGAGTGAAATAAGCCAATCCCAAAGGGACAAATACCACTTATTCTCCCTGATAGGTGACAACTAACTGAGCACCAAAAAGGAAACCTGTTAAAGTGAAATGAACACTATGAGAAATGGTGACTTGATCAGCCCTCACCCTGACTGTTGATGAGCAGCTTAATATGTTATCCCTCTTAGTATTTTTTTTTGTTTGTTCTACTTAATACTTTTGGTTGAATACTGTAATCAATACACAATTCTTCTTAAGTGCTGAAACTTAACTGAAAAGTGATTGCTGTTATATATAAGAGTGGGAATAAGAGAGGGAAGAGATGTGCAATTCAGGACATGCTCAAGCTGACTTACCTCAAACGGTAGAGTTAGAAACATACCAGGGGATTCCAATTCAATCCCATCAAGGTGGCATGTACCAATGCCATCTCACTAGTCCCAGTGATCAATTTCTGTTCACAATTGATCATAATGATAGGACTAAGAACCAAAGGGATCACATAAACAAGAATTGTGTCTGCAAATACTAGCTGATAGAATAAAAAAGGGAGAGAACGATCCAACATGGGAAGTGACATACACAGCAGACCCATAGAATGGCAGATGTCCTAAACAGCACTCTGGCCTCATAATCAGCCCTTAAGGCATGCGGATCTGGCTGAAATGCCCATGAGAGTATTTCAGGCATGGAAAGCCAAGACACTCTGGGGAAAAAAAAACCTAAATGAAAGATCTCCATGAGTGAGATCCCAGTGGAAAGGGCGGGTCATCAAAGAAGGAGGTGCCTTTCTCTGAAGGGAGGAGAGAACTTCGACTTTGACCGTGGCCTTGTCTAAATATGATTAGGTGAACTCAGGGGGCTTCCATAGCCTTGGCAGCTCATGACAAGAGCCTAGGGTGATTACTGATGCCATAAACAAGAGTGTCAATTTGTTAAGTCAACAACAGGAGTCACTGTGCACTTACTCCTCATGTAGGATCTTTGTCCTTAATGTGCTGTACATTGAGATTTAATGCTATAACTAGTACTCAAACAGTATTTTTCACTTTATGTTTCTGTGTGGGAGCAAACTGTTGAAATCTTTACTTAATGTATGCTAAACTGATCTTCTGTATATAAAGAGAATCTAAAATGAATCATGATGTGAATGGAAGGGGAGAGAGAGTGGGAAAGGGGAGTGTAGCGGGTGGGAGGGACGTTATGGGGGGGGAAGCCATTGCAATCCATAAGCTGTACTTTGGAAATTTATATTCATTAAATAAAAGTTAAAAAAATTGTTTTGACTAGCTTGAGAAGAACTGGAATTAGTTCTTCTTTAAATTTCTGGTAGAATTCATCAATGAAACCATCTGGTCCTGGGCTTTTCTTTGCTGGGAAGATCTTTATTACTGATTCAGTTTCTATCTTGGTTATTGTTCTTTTTGGTGTCTTACTGGTTCAATTTAGATAGGTTGTATGTATCCATTTCTTCTAGGTTTCCCAATTTGTTGGCATACAGCTCTTTGTGGTAATTTCTGATGATTCTTTTTATTTATGTGGTATCTGTTGTTATATTTACTTTTTCATCTCTAATTTTATTGATTTGAGTCTTCTCCCTTTTTTTGGTTAGTTGGGCCAATGGTGTGTCAATTTTGTTTATTTTTTCAAAAACAGCTCTTTGTTTCACAGATTTCTTTGTTTCAATTTTGTTTATTCTCTAATTTTACTTATTTCTTTTCTCCTACTAGTTATGGGTTTGGTTTGCTGTTATTTGTCTAGGTTCTTGAGATGCACTGATAGTTCATTTATTTAGTGCCTTTCCAATTTTCTTGATATAGGCTCCAGTTGCTATAAACTCCCCTCTTAACATTACATTTGCTGTATCCCATATTTGCTATGTTGTATTGTCAACTTTTTTTCGTTTCCAGACATTTTTTGATTTCTCTTTTGATTTCTTCATTGATCCACTATTCATTCAAGAGCATGTTATTCATTCTCATGTGTTTACATATATTCTAGAGATTCTTCAGTTGTTGATACCCAGCTTCATTCCATTATGGTCAGGAATGATGCATGGTATGATTTTGATTTTTTTTGAATTTGATGAGACTTGATTTATAGCTTAGTATGTGGTCTATCCTAGAGAAAGTTTCATGCACTGATGAGAAGAATTTTATTCTGTATCTGTAGGATAGAAAGCTGGTGCTGAGTCTCTTGGCTGCTGGGGTCCCAATCTGTGCATGTCCACACCCTCCATAGATCCATGGTGTCTACCCAGTTCTCTTGGAGTTTCCTCTGCTGTTTCCTCCCTAAACCTTCCCTGAGATTGCACTCTATCCACTTTTTTTTTTGAAAAAGTATCCCCTCCTAGACTAAAGCAGTAAGCTCCTTCCCTATGCCACCATCTTGAAAACTCAAAAACCCTGAATAGACATTTTTAAACAATAAAATGCAAATGGCCAACAAACACAAGAAAAAAATGATTAGTATGACTAGCCATCAGAGAAATTGACAGAAAAGCCACAGTGAGATAACATTTAAGTCTAGATAGGGTGACTTTTATCCAAAAGTCACTAATTAACAAATCCTGACAAGGATGTGCAGAAGAGAACCTTAATATATTGCTGATGGGAATGTGAATTAGTAGAACCATTATGGAAAACAGCATGAAGATTACTATAAAAACCTAGAAATAGATCTACCACTTGATCCAGATGTCCCACTTACTGGATAATATCCAAAGGAAGTGAAGTCGGAATGTAGAGCTATCAGCACCCCTATGTTTATTGCCATAAAATTCATAGCAGCAAATATACCAAATCAACCTAGATGCCCGTAAATGGAAGATGAAATAAAGAATATAAATTTATATATATCTGACAAAATATTGCTGAGTTATAAAAATGAGTGAAACCTGACATTTTCCATAAGGTGCACAGAATTGGAGATGATTATGCTAGGTGAAATAAAGCAGATGGTGGCTTTACCCACTATGCCACAATGCTGGCCCCAATAAACACATTCTTTACAAAGTTTCATTTACTTATGTTTTATTGTTTTATTTGAAAGCCATAGAGGGAGGGAGGGAGGGAGAGAGGGAGGGGCAGAGAGAGAGAGAGGGAAAGAGAAAGAGAGAGAGAGAGAGAGAGAGAGAGAGAGAGAAACACTTTCATCTGCTGATTTACTCTCCAAATTCTTGCAACAGCTAAGGCTGGGCCGGACTGAAGCCAGAAGCCTGGAACTCCATATGGGCTTCCCACATTTGTGGCAGGGGCCAAGACCTAAGCCACTACCTGCTGCCTCCCAGGATGCTATTAACAGGAAGCTAGATAGCACATGGAGTGGCGTCTTGAACCCAGTCACTCTGATATAGGATACAGATGTGCTAAGTGGTATCTTAACTGCTGAGCCAAATGCCTGCCCCCCCTTCTTTTAAAATGTTTTAGTTATTTTTTAACATAAAATTTTAATTTATTTGAAAACTGGAGTGGAGAGAGGGAGACAAATACATCTTTAATCCTGTCCATGAACTTCTATGTGACTTTACATAGTTCTGTCCATATCTATATACACACAGATACAGATAAATGTATATATTCATCCATTGAATGGGTATATATGTAGTTTCATATATAAATTATTGTGAATAATGTTGCAGTGAATGTGCAGGTGCAGCTATCTTCACAGTGAAAATTTCTTTTCATTTCAGTATATATTCAGAAGAGGAATTTCTGGGTCATATGGTGGTTCCATCAGATGACTCTGGATAGGGGAAATGATGCCAAAATGAAAGAAATATAAACCTGAATTTGGCTTATTTCAAACAGAAATTAGAGAAGGGAAGGTGATGGGGTATGGGAAAAAGGAGAGACGCTGTTCATGCAACTATTTGGAAAAATGAGAATTTTCCATCCATGGCAGTGTCAGCATTCAGAGGACTTCCTAGTTACTAATTTTCAAAGTGAGAAAGAGCAATAGCATATGCATCAATACAGTTTTCTCCTCAGTGTTCTCTGCACGGCAGCCTTTACCTCCTTGTTCCTCAGGCTGTAGATCAGGGGGTTCAGCATGGGGATCACTGTGGTGTAGAACACAGAGGCCACGTTCTCCTGGGCCAGGGAGCTGGCTGTGGATGGCTTTAAGTACATGAAGGCAGTCGATCCATAGAACAGCCCCACAGCTGCCAGGTGGGAGCTGCAGGTGTTGAAGGCTTTGGACCTGCCCTCTGTGGTGCTGATGCTGAGGATGCTGGACAGGATGAAGGCATAGGAAACAAGGACAGTTAAACTGGTGAGTATGATATTGAATCCAGCCAGAAGGAAGACTGCCATCTCGACATCATAGGTGCTAGAGCAGGAGAGCTTCATGAGAGGGAGGATGTCACAGAAGTAGTGACTGATGAGGGCCTCGCAATAGGACAGGTTTAACATAAGACCAGTCTCTATTGTTGAGCCGATGAATCCCATGATGTAGACTGCAGCCACCAGCAGGGAGCAGACAGGGTGAGACATGATGATGGTGTAAAGCAAGGGGTGGCAGATGGCCACATAGCGGTCGTAGGCCATCACCGTGAGCATGTAGCACTCAGCAATGACAAAAACAAGGAAGAAGTAGAGCTGGGACATGCACCCAGCATAGGAGATGATGTTCTCCTCTGACACGAAGTTCACCAGCATCTTGGGTGTAATGACAGAGGAGTAGCAGAGATCCACGAGGGCCAGATGGCTGAGGAAATAGTACATGGGGGTATGAAGCTGAGAGTTGAGGCCAATCAGAGTGATCATGCCCAGGTTGCCCACCATGGTGACCACGTAGATCCCTAGGAAGAGGAGAAAGAGGGGGATCTGGAGGTCTTGGCGGCTTGTTAGTCCCCCAAGAGTGAACTCCGTCACTGCAGAGTGATTTCCTGCAGCCATTCTCCACTAGCTGGTAGCCCTGTGGGAATTGGGAAGAACCTCTGAAATCTGTCCTTGGACTGTTTAGGGACAACAGCTGTGGCCTGTGGTATCAGTTGGGTATTCTGGGCTTTTCGTTAATGTATCTTCCCCCAATTCCTGCTGTTGCCTAAGAGGAAGATTCTTCTCTTAGTGTTTCAAAGATAGTGATGATGACCGTACAGGGGGCCAGATCTGGAGTTCATGCTGCTGTCATGTAGCTCTTATTTCATAAAGCTATGGTTCTCAAAGTCCGTTCCCTGACTAGCTGCATCAACATCACCTGGAGCTTGTTAGAGGTGCAAATTATAAGGCCGCCCCTAACATCCATTCTTTCTAGTGCCCTGGGGATAGACTCAGCAATCTGTTTTTACAATCTCTTTAGTGATGCACACTGAAGTCTGCCACAGCATACCCTAAACATAATATGTAGTACACTTTGTATTGTGTAGTTGGCGATGGATTTTGCTTCAGCAATGAGTTTCCTTTTTTCTGCAATCCTAAATATTTGTTGTAAACATATGAGTTTCTTTCTCACAATGATGCCATGTTAGGAATATGTGATGGTTATAGATGCATCATGAAGTGACAAGTCAATTTCTGAAAGATGAAGAAATTGATAATATGAAGGTTATATGAGATATACATATTTTGAAATATTTTTTCAAACACTCAATTTCTTAAAACTGAGTTTTCATTATTAATCATTATTAATCCAGTATTTGTGTTTAGTTTTTTGCTGGGCTTAAGGTCCTAGACAGTGGTTCTTAACACTGGGTGTGTATTGTAACCACTTGGAAAATTTGCAAAATATCCTGGCCTGGATTCTACCTACAGAATTTCTAATTAAATTGATCTCTGTTACAGCCTGGATACTGGCATAGCAATATTGTTCTTAGTCACTGCTTATTATAGGTATTTATATAATTATTATTTTCTGATCATAATATCAAATCATCACACTATTGCATCTACAATGACAAAGTGTTCAAATGACAGACATGTCTCTAGGAAGCATAGATTGTCATTGGTAGATACCGTATGTACAGATATCCTCATTTGTTGGATGAATTTGTTAAGCTAAAAAACTTAAATTCCTTCCATAATTCCTAAATTTTGTATAATGTTCATGGTTCTATACTTTCTTTGAAGGTCAATCTCATTACATCTCAAAAGTTTTAGGAATGGAGATAAGAGTGTTTTAGAGCAGGAATTTTATTCTCACTTTCATACTGGGAAAACTGATGTGTCAAACACTAATCGACTTACCTGACTGCTGGTACTGTGCATGCAAATTTACCTCTTGTCTCTCTTTGTCGTGAATTGCTTTCTTTGCCTCAGACATGAAGCCTTACAAATCTGTACACCCACAGCTCTAAGCGATGTGTGATTGAGACACATTTTACACTTGATATCTTAGTATGTGCATAGCATATGAAAGAGGAGGATTGCTGTTATTCATTTTTTTTTGTTTTGTAGGCTATTGAAGCCCTAACATTGAAATAAGTTACCCAAGGTAACCCAGCTAATAACAGGCAGAATTGGACCTAAAACCTAGGACTTCTGACCACCAGTCTGTTTGTTTCTACTAAACTAGGATTTTCAGTTGTACCCTTTTTTTGTGTTGCATTTTTAGGTTATTTGGTAGACTAAATTTATTAAAGTATTCTAGATGGAGGATAGATCTTATTGCTAATTTCAGCTGCACTGTTTGCAATTGTAAATAAATATCCCTGAATTATAGTAACTTAGAAATACAAATAAGCAAAACTAAAAAAAATTTCCTGATACATGGAACTGGACATTGGTGGTAAATATCTGTAGTTTTTCTATGCCTATATATATTTGCATGTGTGGTTAAACTTCCATTTTAAACAACACTATAAAATACATATCTAGTTTGATTCCTATAATAATGCTAACTGGTACTAACTGTAATATTTATTTTTCTCAGCTGTCAGAATGAGTCTTTAAAATCCCTAGGATTTAGCATTAGTACAAGAAAATCCTCATTGCATTATAAGCTTTATAGGTAAATTATCAATTGTGAGGTATTTAGATTTACAATTAGCAGCATTAAATATAGTTAAGATATCTTGATTGTTTGCCTTTATCACAAAGGAGAAAATTTTTTTTTAGATAACAATAGATTAAAAGAATGTTACACATCTCCTTACCCAATTTCTGCCTCTAAACTTGGTAAGAATCATAGAGCATCCATCTTGTAGTGCAAATGCAAACACTGCTGTTAGAGGAGAATCCTAGACAACATTGACTTAATGTTTCACATCTGTAATCTATTAACATAAAATAGGAAAACAGGAAGTTACTACAATTACTAACTCCTGTCTTAACAAGCCATTGTAAGCTCAGAATTTCTGACAATAAGACAACAGCACAGAGAGAAAAAAGCTCCTAGTGATAAAAGTAAAAGCAATAAACGTGGCAAATAGCCTGCATTACAAACAAGAGTTCCTGAAAGAAGTATCTTTCTCATACTATTGCTTTTAATCCATAATTAAATACCTGAGCTGAGGGAATCTTGAACACTTTGTCTTGGAAGCTGTAGGGGATGCCTTGGCTTCAACAATCAGGAAATGACAAAAGCAGGTAGACTTACATCTCATGGAAAATCTACTCAAAGAGATATGAAAGCCATGAAAAAATGGCTCTCCAAGATAGTGAGGGTGGGTATTTGTTTATCTTTATCAGGGCAGAACATCTCCTGGGATGTAGTCACTCCAGAGGCAGAGATCCACATTAAGGACCAATTAGAATCTTGGTCTACATCCATCCTGTGAATCATTTTTTTCCTCCCAGATGTATTAATTTTCCTCTTATTGGCACAATCAGTTTGCTGCTAGGGAAACTTGGAGTAATACATAAGTATTGAAATATTGTATCACCAACAATACCATCTTCATCATCATTATGCCCATTATTATCATATCACCATCATCATCAGTTACTACCTCTATGTTTGTTACTTATCATCAGTGATTAATCAGTGTGTGCAAAAACAAATCCAATAACTTTACAAAAGCTATAATTTTATTAAAGCAGTATTAAATCTGTAAAGAATATTGAATTGCCAACTGTATACTATCAGTGCACAGGTTGAAAGAATGAGAAAGTAGACTATTCATACATGCTCACTAATAAAGGAATTTTGTTCATAAGAACTTTCCCATTTATATATGTATTCTCTATCATATCATGTTTGAATATATTGCTAATGAGACTTTTTTCATTAAACTTTTCCTTTGAAGATATTGTAGATTCACATGTGGTTCTAAGAAACAATTCAGGGAGATCTCATGTCATACCCTTTATGAAGCTATCTCAATGGAAACATCTTGCAAAAACAATTGTACATTAGGACACCCAGGATATTGATGTTGATATCATCCACTGGTCTGATTCAGATTTCCAAGTTTTTTTTATTATTCATTTGTATGTGTATTTATTTTATGCAATTTAATCAATTACACAGGACCATCTAATCACCACCATACTTGAAATAAAAACATAGCACTTTGATTTTCTAATTTTCATAGCAATTATTTGATTTCTTAAGGCCCTTCAAAAGTGCCTAGTTATTTTTCATCAGTAGCATTCTAACTACTCAATTTAAACTTATTTTATGTGTTTCAACACATTGAAGTTATTATTACCCTTTGTTTATCAATTTTTTCCATCTTTGTTCTATGGAATTTGCTTCAGTATGTCCCTAGAATCTTTTTGGGGTAGTGCTTAAAGAATCTAATATCTTCCTTGCTATTTCTTATGTCAAGATATTCTGGGGCAGGCGCCCCAGCTCATTAGGGTAATCCTCTGCCTGTGGCACCGGCACCCCAGGTTCTAGCCCCTGTTGGGGTGCTGGAGTCTGTCCCGGTTGCTCCTCTTCCAGTCCAGCTCGCTGCTGTGGGCCAGGAAAGCAGTGGAAGATGGCCCAAGTGCTTGGGCCCTGCACCCGTGTGGGAAACCAGGAGGAAGTACCTGGCTCCTGGCTTCGGATTGGTGCAGTGCTGGCCATAGCTGCCATTTGGGGGATGAACCAACGGAAAGGAAGACCTTTCTCTCTGTCTCTCTCTCACTGTCTAACTCTGCCTGTCAACAACAACAACAACAAAAAGGATATTCTGAATTTCATTCTTCAGATTTGGAATTAACATTTCTCCAAAAATTTGGTTTCTTTTAGTATGGAAATGCTATTTCAAGAGTACAAATTAGGCCGGTGCCGTGGCTCAATAGGCTAATCCTCTGCCTTGCGGCACCGGCACACCGGGTTCTAGTCCCGGTCAGGGCACCGGATTCTGTCCCGGTTGCCCCTCTTCCAGGCCAGCTCTCTGCTGTGGCCCGGGAGTGAAGTGGAGGATGGCCCAAGTTCTTGGGCCCTGCACCCCATGGGAGACCAGGAGAAGCACCTGGCTCCTGCCATTGGATCAGCGCGGTGCACCGGCCGCAGCGCGCTGGCCGTGGCGGCCATTGGAGGGTGAACCAATGGCAAAGGAAGACCTTTCTCTCTGTCTCTCTCTTTCTCACTGTCCACTCTGCCTATCAAAAAAAAAAAAAAAAAAAAGAGTACAAATTAGATGATAGAGACTCATCTCTGCTAAATTAGACATTGTTTCTAGGTCTTTTAAAATTGGACTGAGAAAACTTAGGACTACCCTGTTCTCACAGGATCCTTCCTTTTTGAATTTTTTTTTAAATTTAGTAATCTTTTTTTTTTAAGATTTATTTATTTATTTGAAAGTCAGAGTCACACAGAAAGAGGAGAGGCAGAGAGAGAGAGCGAGCTTCCATCCAATGATTCACTCCCCAATTGGCCGCAACGGCCGGAGCTGCACCGATCTGAAGCCAGGAGCCAGAAGCTTCCTCTAGGTCTCCCACGTGGATGCAGGAGCCCAAGGACTTGGGCCATCTTCTACTGCTGTCCCAGGCTAAAGCAGAGAGGAGTGAAGGAGGTGAAACAGCTAGGCTTGAACCAGCGCCCATATGGGATGCCGGCGCCCCAGGCCAGGGCGTCAACCCACTGCAACACAGCACCGACCCCAAAGTTTAGTAATCTTACTAGGATAACTTTGTTCATTCTGAACAATTTTCTTAGATGTGGTGTTTCTTCTTAGTATGTCATTACTAAAACACCTTTTTAACAGTAGAAAATGTTTTTTGAAATACAGTTTTTGTTGTTCCTTTTCCTTTGTTTGGATGACTCTCTTGAGGCTCCTATTTTGTGTCAAGTAGATCTAGTTTTTTCCTCTTTTCCACTATTCATTCTCCTAATGTACAATATATAAAGTTTATTTCCCTTTTGTTACTCCTATTTGTGTCTTAATTTCTGAAATTATTATTTAGTTCTAATACTTTTCTGAGTTGCATTATTGAGTTTATGATTTTTTAATAATTCATGGTTCTGTTCTTTTTTTTTTTTTTTTGACAGGCAGAGTGGACAGTGAGAGAGAGAGAGAGACAGAGAGAAAGGTCTTCCTATTCCGTTGGTTCACCCCACAATGGCCACTGCGGCCGGCGCGCCGCACAGATCTGAAGCCAGGAATCAGGAGCTTCTCCTGGTCTCCCATGAGGGTGCAGGTCCCAAGCACTTGGGCCATCCTCCACTGCACTCCCTGGCCACAGCAGAGAGCTGGCCTGGAAGAGGAGCAACCGAGACAGAATCTGGCGCCCCAACCGGGACTAGAACCCGAAGTGCCAACGCCGCAGGCGGAGGATTAGCCTAGTGAGCCGCGGCGCCGGCCTGTTCTTTTATCATTCTCATAAGGTGTTTTAGCTCACTTTGAAATAAGATTACAGTAGTTATTTTTGAGCATCTCTGTAGCTTACTCCACAATTTTGTAGAAATGTATTTCTTTTTCTTATAATGATTTTAAATGGAATTTCAGCTTGATTATTTTTCTATTTTTCATTTTAGATCAAATTTGCTTTTTTTCCAACTTCATATCAGTACAACAATGTTGTTTCTATGGAGTGTTACTGCCTGCGATTGCCTGGCTTTGTCTTCTTTCTGCTTTTCTCTGGGTCTTTTATTCTTTTACTTTCTACTTTCCCTGTTCTATCTAGTTTGGATTTTATTCCTAGCACTTTATTCTTGTAGGGAGCGTTGGTTGGTTTATTTT